AGCAAGGTTCCCTGTGTACCTGCACAGGCACACAGTCCTTTTCTGAGCCCCATGCAGAGGTTAAGAGCTCCCTGCTCAAGGCCATTTCCATGCTACTGCTGCTGCCGCCTGCTATACATTGAGAAGCTGGCTCCAGTCTCTACTCCAGGGCTGAGCAAAACATGTTCTGTGGGCCAGATTCAGCCACAAGAGCCTCACCTGGCTCCCTGCCTGCCTCAAGCTCCCCTCTGCACCCCACCTCTATTCTAGACTCCCGCACCTCCTCCGTTAATGTGAAGAGTGTGACCAGTTCTTTGTTATCTGATAGAGTTCTGGCTCTTATGAGTCAGAAGCAGCAAGTACTAGGCGTGATGCTAGCCATTCTGAATTAGGATTTTATGCTAAAATGGTGAAAGCTGCATTTCTTATTTACAGGCAGTCCCCGGGTTACGTACAAGATAGGGACTGTAGGTTTGTTCTTAAGTTGAATTTGTATGTAAGTTGGAACTGGTACATATTGTAGGGGAAACTCTAGCCAAACATTTCTCCAGAGCTCAGTTTTATTCTTCCACACCTCACTTCCCTCAGTCCTTTATTCTCAAGCTGAGGTGTCTGCTGAGAAAAGCCGCTCCGCGTCTCCCTGGTCTGCTGGGGGAGGGGGCGGAGGCGCTAGCTTCACGTCTCCCTGGTCTGCTGGGGGGAAGCAGCTAGTGCGGGGTTGCCTCACCCCGTTTGTAAGTAGGGATCCGATGTAAGTCAGATCCATGTAACCCGGGGACTGCCTGTACTCCAAAGTTTCAGAAGGGTAGCAGTGTTTGTCTAACTAAAAAAAACCTTAAGGCTAGCAAAAATAGTATCATGAGTTTTCATGGGTACAACCCATTTCTTCAGCCAAGGGCAGCTGGAAGCTTCTTAACGAGGATTTGAAATCTAGAACCCCCTGGTTATTGGTCAAGCCTTAACCAGGGGATGGGGCTATCAGGAAGGCCAGGCTATATAAAGCCAGCTAGTAAGTGACTAGGGAGCTTAGTAAACAGGGGCAGCTAACAGGGAGTTTTGTGAGGGAGTTTAGAGGAGGAGTTAGAAGCAGGCTACATACACTTGGCATTGTTTAAAACTTCTGAACTAAACTAAAACCAAAACTACATCATTTAAATAAAAACCCTCTCAATAATCTAATTATCTGTGGGAGAGAATGCAGGCAGGGTTGTGCACATGGATTAGCACTTTGATCAGAGGGGGAGAGAGAGGGAGCACACGGCTCTCACAGACAATGTTATGTGCAATCAACATAAATGTAACTTCATGTGCCCTTGCTTTACATGTGTGTAACTTCAGTAATACTAGTAGGAAAAAAAACTACACAGATGGAAACCAGCAGAATCTAGCAATCCTGCACAAGGGGAACAGTAAACAAAGTATCTTTCAACCACACACGGAACACAGATGGGCTGCATACGGCCTGCAGGCTGCCCACCACGATACTACATGCATACCTGTAACAGAATAGCCACCCCTGAAGAGTTTACCGGGGAGGCGGGGGAGAGTATGTGATGACATAAAAGAGATGGCTATAAGAGACAGAAGGTTGCGGGGGGAGGGACGAAGAGGATTGTGATGAGGGTCTTGTGTACATCACTGCAGTATAGGCTCAAGTTTTGCAGCATGAGATATTCAATTCCACAGCAATGTTCATTAAGTTAACTTGTTGATTTTTTTGCATTACATTGCCAAATCCTCTCAGAAGGTCCAGCAGTATATTTTTTAGAAACCCTAAATAAAGGAGAAAATTACTCCTGATAAGGCTGGATGTTTAGGTTCCTTAGAGAGAGAGCTACACAGCTCCTAGGGGAAAAGGAAAATGTGGCAGCTAGATAAAGCTCTATCCTTCCTGAGCCTCATGTTTGCTATCCTTGCCTCACTGGAAAGAGAACAGGCACCCTGCCACCATTCATTCAAGAGGCAGTTCAGTCAATGGTGTGAAGCCATTGGGAATCTGTGTTGTTGTACATCTATGGCTGCAAATTACCGTAATTCAACCCTGCATCCTTTGCAAGTCACAAGGGATGGAATTCTGCCCCAGTACCTGAAGTTCATCAGGTTGGCCCTCTGCCCTCACAACCCTTCCCTGATAAACTTTGTTCAGGCCCCTCCCCACCACATTTTGTAACTTGGGCATGAGAGCTCTGTCTGGTTATCAAGACTCATCAGCTCACCCTGTAGCTGCCATACACTTCTTCTGGCCCGTATCTTCAAAAGACAGGCAAAGGCCATCCGGATGAGCCCAGAGAGCTTTTTGTCTCATTTCAACTCACATATTTACGGAGAATAGGACAAGAGAATGTGCTGCTTATTGTAATGCACTCCCCCTCGAGGTGAAAGCAGTACCAAAAAAGGAAGCTGCAGCAAGGTCATCGCAGAGCAGAGAGAACAATGTCAGGCTCTTGACTGCAGTAAAATGGGGCATTGTTCAACATTTGGCAAAATGTCAAATTTTGCAAAATAAAATCAGTGAGACACGGAATCACAGAATACACAAGGCCCTGATAATGAGTGGCACAACAAGCAGGGTCACAGAACATCAGCTGCCTAGTCACTGTCAAGCATCATGCAGATATCACAGCAAAGGTGACCTTTAACAAGGAGTAAAAAGGAGGACAAAGCAATAGTTCTGCAAACTTTTACAGGGATCTCCTCCCATGCATTAAGGACAGCATCGGAGACAATTCAAGTGATCTCTGAAAATAAAATGGACTGATGGGAATAGAAGTTGCTGTTGCTAGAAGAGCAGAAGCAGACTGGCAGCTCAATACCACATAAGAGATGGTATGTATACGGGCAGTCTGTGTTTCAGACTGACAAAACTGGATTTAGAACATTCAATCAAGACATTTGGGCATCCACAAAAGTGTATAGTGCCCTTGTTTATGAGGAAAGACTATTATCTCAGATTTGGAGGCAGGAAGATAGGCAAGTCTTATGGGAGAAGTCAAAGAATTTTGGAAAACCGTACCTGAACATTGTTTATTCAGTTTTAAATAATGTTTCCAGCAACATCCAACCATATTAGTGGACGGTTTCTGCTAAGTCAGTTTGAAGTGTAAAAATCAGTAATACTGACATAAATAATAGGGCTGTCAACTAACCTGCATGAACGCAGGACAAGATTAACATGTTAAAAAAATTAAACACGTTAATCGCAGGTGTTAATGCTGCACTGCCTCTGAAGTGCCCAGCTCCTAATGCACTGCCCCTTTAAAGTACTAAAATTGCACTTCCAAGTGGCAGTGCTGCATGGAGCCCAGAGTCAGCTGGGAACTCCAGATGATGCCAGGCTCCAAGCAGTGCTGCCCATTGGAACACCACCGCAGTGTTTGAAAGAGGAATCACACGCGATTAATAGCGATTATTTTTAGGGCTGTCAAGCGACTAAAAATTGTAATAATCTGACCTAACATTCTCTTTGGATGAAAGAGGCAGATTCTCTCTCAGACACATGGCTACCTGCCCTATGTAGCATTTGTATATTTACTGAACGAATAGGACAGGGCATTAGATTAGCATAAAAAAAGATACCAGGATGATTGCAAAGAATTTTTTTTTTTTTAATAGAAAATTTTATTATACTGAAGATACTGAACTAAAACTGTGTGGAAATTCCACATACAGGGATTTAGAGAAAATCTGTCACTTCATTACTGATCTTAATCTTGCTTGTGGTTTTCTCCTTTCGGACCACATTGTCTCATTTGTTCCTATGACAGTTCTCTATTACCACAAACCAGTCAACAGTACTCTATATCAACTCCTCCCACATAAAATCATATTGGTTAGCTGTCATAGTTCCATTGGCTTCAATGGAGCTGAGAATTTACACCAGCTCAGGATCTGCACACCAGGTTTTAGACATCAGTGTGGCTGCTCCCCAGCAATGCAAACCACTCTACCTTGTTTACACCAGGAAAACAAAAAGGGTTTTTTTCTAAAGCACAACAAAAAACCCCTCATCGCTTACTTGTTTTAAACACCAATTTTCACAAAGAAAAAGTTTAACATCTTTAAAATGCACTAACTTGTAGCTGTCAGTCTCAGGCTTCCCTTTAGGGTTGATTATCATACACTTTCTAAAAGGTGCTAACATGTTTTTAAAAGTATTAAGTCCTGTCTACAGTAGTGATTACCAAATGCTTTGATAAGCCTATACTAGAAAAAGTGTTTTGATTTACACCAACACAGTGCACTATGTACTGCAAGTTTTCCCTGGAGCTCTGTAAGTAAGTATCTTGAGTCTTATTTGGTCCATTCATTCCAAACAATTTGCAAAACCTAATCAAAACACTATCTCCTGTAAGATATCCAGTTGGCAACAAACTCCAGCCAATAAATGAAACAAACTAACCAACCCTGCAACAAATGCATATAAGGCGACCTTTATATTTTATATTGAATCTAGTTAACCCTTTAATGACTAGATTTGCTATCTACAAGGTGAAGCAATTAAGAAGTTTAGACTAAGAAGAATTATACAAAATTAAACTCAGTTTCTCACTAATTTAGCACTAATAGTGTTATGGGCACATTGATGAAAAAGTAAAATTAAGAACCAAGAAGGAAGAAATTTGGGATGTGTTTTATTTTGATATTTAGAAAAGATTCTTAAATGCTGACTTGTCCCATACTCAGTTCTGGGTTTTGCAACTGCTCTCATTTAAAGTTTTACAAAACACATCAGCAAGCAAACTGAAAGAATAATCTTTGCTTTTTAAATTTGTGCTTTGACAGAAATGCACACAAATGGCTCTAACCTTGGTGTCCAAATGCTGGCCAGTTGAGCATGGCTAGTTAGCTATAGCAGTAGCCACGGCTCTAGCAGGTCACAATCCCTGCATGCTCTTAAATAAAAATACGTACTTTCATAACCTTTAATTCAGGAAAAGAAAATGTAAACCAATGAATAATCACATTGAAATGTTCAATCTAGTAGTCCTGACTTGATCATTTAAAGAAAAAAAGTCACTTACAGAACTGGATGAACAATCAGCTCTGGACTATATGATTTTATCACAGCTGCTGCATCTTTGGTACAAAATACATGGGATAAGTCTGCACCCTAAGAAAGAAAATTTGCAGAATTACCAATTGTAATCTTAGTAGCATGTAAACAATTATGCCAATAGCTATTCATTGAACAACTATGAATTCCTACAGCTTGTTAAATAATGCAAACTCACTACCTGTTTGTTCCATTTTAACTAGCATGCCACTTAATAGTTTGGAGAAATCTTGCTTTCTCTCTTACATCTAACTTCCATATTAAGTTGGAAACTTACAGAAATACTTGGTTACTGAACAGGATTATGGCAAAAATTATTGAATGTTTAGGGCCAGATCCTGAAACCCTGTAACAATTAATCCTCTCTATTCTTGCATGAGCAATAACAAGCAGCCTAGGCCCCCACAGTAAGGAAAAACAGAAAAGGACTCAATTGGTGCTGTGCTATATTCATGTAAGACGAACTTGATTACCCATGAGCGCGCCAGGGTTTTTGATCCAATTAACCAGATCTGGACTTGAGATAAATTGGTGAAATTCCATTTATTACAATTGAATTGTATGCTTTGCTTCTTTTACTTCTAATGCGAAAAAGCAGATAATATACGTGTAGATTAGGTAGCCAGGGACAAGAAGTTTCCAATACTTTGAATGTAGAAAGACACCCCAAGCTTAAAAGATACAAACTAAAGGAAGACAATCAATTAGTGGATGCTCAGAAGTAGTAATATCACTTAACATTTTCCAAGCCCTGAACAATTTAAGCTCCTGATCCTGAAGTTTGTTCTGTTAAGGTGAAATGCTGTGCCTGTACTTAGGCCAGGGGCGGGCAAGAAAGTCTGTCCCACAGCTGTCTCCCTGGAACCCTTAAGCACAGAGCAGCTCACACTTTAAACAGCTGGCTGCTCTCCCCTCTGGACACTGAGGAGGGAGGCTCTTCCTCTGACCCTGCCTCCCAGCATAATCTCTCAGCTCTCATTAGCCAGTTTCTGGCCAATAGAAGCTGAGAAATTTTGCTGGGGGCAAGGGCAGCATGTGAAGCTTCCCTCCCTTCCTCATGAACAGAACCATGTAGAGCAGCCAGCCAACCAGCTGGGGACTGAAGCAGACAGCCTGACTCAGGTTCCTGCAGGGCTGCTGACTGAGAGCCACCTAGAGTAAGTGCCCCCCACCTGGAGCCTGCCTCCTGCACCCCATGCCCGCTTTCCCCAGCTACTTGCCCCAGGCCACCATCCAAATCCTCTGTATCCCTTTTCCCAAGGTCACCACTTCCTCCCAGACTCTTCACCCCCCAAGCCAGAATTCTCCTCTGAACCCGTGCCCCCTCCCAGGTCACTACCCAAACCCTTGGCACCCCCTTTTCCCAAGTCATAACTCTCTCCCAGATCCTGCACCCTCTCAGAGCCCCTCCCTCAGGCCAGAATCCTCTCCTGGATTCTGTATCCCAAGCTCCCAGATCTCAACCCCCTTCTGCACGCCAGTTCCATACCCCAAGCTCCTTTCTGCACCTCAATTCCATCCCAGACCCCACATCCCCTCCACAGAAGTGTAGCCCTTGACCACTTGCCAAAATCTTAGAGTGCCCCCCCCCCTAAAAATTATTGCCCACCCCACGCATAGGCCTACTGAATTCAGTACAATTCCAGGTTGGTGCAGCAAGCTGGCTACAAATAGTAAATGGCTGTATTAGGGCCATTGCATCTTGTGAGATACTGAGTTGTGTTTCAAGTCAGTTAGAGCTAAAAAAGTGTCCAGGTTACATTATTTTTGGTCTTCCCTAAATTCAATAATAATGAACTTAGCTTACTGAAAAAAAAGGAACGACTTTTTGTTTAAAAACCTGAAAATTCTATGACCGGGAAGAATATTAATCCTCTAGAACTCAGAAATTATTATTGAAGAGATAAAAGGGTACATTTCCTGAAGAATTAAAATCCTATGCACAGTACAATGCAAGCTTTTTGCAAATGACACTAGAAAATCCATTTATGTTATTAAAATACATTACACAGGAAGGCAAGAAAACACATACCACTTTTAGAGCTGAAATTGCAGCAAAATATGGTGCCCCAGTGTACCTACAAATAAAACATGTTCGAGGTTAGAAAACAAACTTTCACAATTGTATCAAAAGACAAAATTGGCATTTGATCAACCTGCTACAATGAAGAACCAAATTAAAGAGCAAGTTAAGAACTCCTGGTGTTTGTTTATTTATAAAGAATGGGTGAAATCCTTGCCCCAGTGAAGCCAATAGCAAAACTCCAAGTGACTTTGATGAGGCCAAAATTTCACCCTGTCTGTCACATGATTATACAACAAAAGAGAGATAAAAGTAGTCAACTCAAAGCACTTACATCAACATGAGAGAGACTCAATACATTCAGAAAATTAGTACCTTGTAATGTACTTTGGCAGGTCAAATTTTGTCTCTAGTAGATCAACAAAAAAGGTAAATTAGAAAATTAAGGATAATCCAATAGGGACAACCTAACTGTAAAAAAAAAAAAAAAAAAAAATCAATTTAGCTCATCATGTGATATTTTTCATCTGCAGTTTTCCAAGCACTTTACAATTAAGTTAATATTTCCATTTTAGAGATAGCCAAACAGAGGTACAGTAAAGTGAAATGACTCTTTCAAAATATCACAATGGATATCATGATTGGGACATTGACTGTCCTGCCTCAGAGTTTGAAGCAAGCTAGAATCAGGGACTGCAGGGGAAGCAGCCATAAACATGGGGAAACTAGCTGCACAGCCATCTTCCCATACTTATGCTTGGTTTAATGGAGGCTGGGGACCAATCAGACCCCCACCACCGTCAGTCAGATCCCAGCCTTGTGCTCCTCTGTCTGAGTTCAGCTGAGTTAGGTCTCTGGGTGACAGGCTGGAACTTACTAGCATCTGAGGACCAAGGTTTGAGACACACTGTCCCTATCATCAGGTCCCTGGCAAAGCCAGGAATAAAGCCTCGGGCTTATAATTTCCAGTCCAGTATCTTATTCACCTGGCCTACACTGTCTTGCATTCCCCCTAAGTTCAAATCAGGATACTATCAGCAAAAATATGCCACCAGATAAGTGTTGAGAAGGTACAGAATAAAAATCTCAAAAGGCAGTTGGAATTCAAACTAAGGATCATGGCCAAGTAGCCAAGATTTGGTTCATAAGTCTGGTGAAAGTCAGGAATCGTAGAAGGGCATCATAACTATGCACAATCTACAGCAGATGCTTCACCTTTTTACTTTATTCTCAAAGCTCCATTCACACAATGTAAAAGGAAATTTAAAGTAAGTAACTAAGATGGAAAGAAGAAAGAAGACAGAAGGGAACTCAAGTGACCAAACTTCAATTGCTTTTACAGCTAAAACAAGGATGATATAACATTTATCCAGAGGTGGTTTTAACCACCCGAGGAAAAGCTAGTTAGAAAGTACAGTATTTTAAAAACTGTGATTATGATAAAATCATTTTATTAATGCACATAACCTTACACTTAGTATTAGCTATATTCAAATTCTGGTTACATAAATTAACATCCAAATCTGCTGGCTTAAGTTTGGCAAAAAGAAGTAAAACTGAAATGGGAGTAATAATAATATATGTAATCATAGCATTCAACATCAGAACATCTACACATTGTGTTTGGCATTTTCTACATCACAAACAAAATAAAAACCAGCAGATTGTGAAAATGACAATAATGCAGAGCTATAGGCTTGCTTAATACATCAGAAGCATGCAGTGTTGTAGACTACCACTCCAGATCCATATGGCCGTTCAGCATTCCATAGAACAAGCCCAACTTTGAAGTATATATACTTAGCCTCCGTTTTGAACTGATGTATCTAAAGTTTGAAAAAACTTGTTCTATGCTTGCTGAACACTGATGCAATTGCACCACTACTTCTATGAAGTCAGATAAAATATCAGCCTTCTTCAGATTTTTCCACCGCGTTTCAGGGGAAACATTTTCCTTCATAGCAGATGAAAACAGTGATACTGAATACAGAGTTTCTACTTTAAATGCAAGTGAATATAGCAGAAAGTGAGGATTTTTACTGAGCAACTAATGGCCAGAAATTTCTTATTGTTCAGTTGACAATTTATTTTCTCTTTATTTTAGATGAAAAGCACACCAGTATGCATACAGGAGTAACTGCTTCATGAAATCTCTTTTGTGCTGTTGCTTTGCATGGTGCTAGGTCTTCATTGGTCAGGAGATCCAGTCATACTGTGCATGCAACTGCAAATGTGTCAAATGCAAAAGCAACTGGTTTCCTTTGATGGAACAATTTTTTTGCTTCTTAGTAAATCCTTTATTAGTTATACTGACCATATTGCCTTCAAATGCTGCCTCATGATCACTCTTGATCTTGAGATAATACAGCCAATTTTTAATTGTGTTTCCAGGCACACTGAGTTTTCTATTTTACAGAACCTTGACATTTTTTGTAGACTCCAATATTCACAAATATTGTAAATCTACTAAGTTTCATCAAAGCTCTAGGTGCGAGGTCTTGTCCAAGTAGATTTCATCAATGCTTGCACATCCATATGTAACCTAATGTGATCTTTTTCCAAATCTGTCAGCTAATACCATAAACACAGTTCATTTATTAATGTGTTCACTTTTCTTGCCAGTGTAGCACAGTGCTTTCCAATCTTCTTACTGCTTCCAATTTCAAGCTCTATCACATTTTTTTCCAACTCAGTCCAGTGAGAGGTAATGTCAATGCTGGCCCTGTAATTCTGAATGCCTTAAAAAGGCTCTGCTGCCATAGCTCCCTGTCTGATCACTCCCAAACTGGCATGCACTGAATTATTACACGTTAAGCAGCCCTGGTTCAGCAATTCTGATTCCAGAAGCATGTTACATTACAACCAAACTCTGGTCTCTGCCAGCCTTCTTTTTTAAAAATCAACCAAGTGACCCCAACACATGCCTATTTCCAAATTTCTCCAAAATCAGTGCCAGATTTATGCACAAGAATAATAAACTAGTTTAGGGTCTCAAATTATGTGGGGTCTCTAAATGCAAAAAAATTTACTAGTTTTTAGTTGCATCCTTGCCTATGTATGGTATATAAGCAAATATAAAATTATTTGTATTTTCATTGTCCTTTTAGAATAATGCACTTTTTTGGTTATGCTATGGGGCCTCAAATTTGACATTTTAAGGCCTCAGTATGTCTTAATCTGGCCCCCATCCAAAACCATGAAAATGTCCAACTCTCTCCTGGAACATTAAGAAAAGTAATACGGCCTTCTTTAAAGAGACAAAAGTACAGCAGCCTGCTGCTTTAAGTTAATTATTAATTCCAGTTTTAGTCAAACAGTACTATACTTATTTAGAATAAAAGTAAAACAAGTTTATTTAATCAAAAATATACTTGAATGCACTCAAAATCTGTGTAATCTGATATGGTTACAAAGAAAAGGGAAAGCAGCAGTTACAAATAAAAGGGAAAGCATCTAAATGTTTAACACACAAATCTAGCAAAACATTTTTTTGTTAAAAATCATGTTAATCTTATCCAGTCTTCATTCCAGCTTTTTATTGAATGGCCTGGCCCAGACACATCATACAGATCAAATTGCTTGATTTCTTTGTCTTCTTAAGGCAAACGATTCCTTTGGTGGCTCAGTCCCTCTCTGTGCAGTTGAGTGATCCTTTTAAACATATTTCTTCTGAAGTGTAGCCTTGGATAAAGTTCATCAGCTCATGCTGAATGATGGAACCACAAAGTTTGGAGATAAGACTCCAAACTGGTTCCTCTTACCCACCCTGTTTTTTGCTACAGGTTGGTCGGGCACCTTCAGGACCTGACTGTTCCCAGATGAGGGATTTTCCAGGGGAAGTCATTTCTGGACCTCCTGCTACCAGCAGCTCTCACTAAGCCTGCTGGCCTCCTGGCTGGCACCTCACCTTCTGCTCACTCTAGGACCCGGTGGGCAGCCGCGCACACCACACTGGGGATCCAGGACTCACCAGGCAGCCATGGATCCCTGCCCCACTGAGTTACCACAGCTTCCCGCTCCATTGAGCAGCCACACACGTATCTCCCAACCCCGCTGGGCAGACCTGCTGCCATGCTCTGATAACAGGCTTGTTGTGGGCAGCCCACTGCTCCGCCAGCCCTGCAGGGATCCTTATCCCTGGCCCTGCACCAGGACTTCCTGGCCCTGCAACATCCATGCCAGGCCATGGATGTTGCTGGACCAGAGAATCTTGGTTAAGAGAGTTTCAACATGCACTATGTACATGTCTTCCATCTGTAACTTCTCATAAAAATGAATTTGGCCAAACCTGTTCTGTGTTATTGGCCTCTTTCCTTATATGTGGAAAACCTGTGTACCAGCTCTCCCTGACATGTATAATTTAAACACCTTTTAAGTCACAGAATATCCACAGTTTCACACACAGCCTTGTAACACATACCGAACAATGATATTATTGACCAGCATGTTATTTGTTTTCAAATGACACCTCAAGGCATGTTCTGTACAAAAATCATTGCTGTGAGGAGACGAGTGTGAATATAGATGTACCGAGGGTCACAACCTCTGATACATAAACCACAATTTTCTCAGTATACATACAGTTAGCTATCACTAGGTCACTATACACATTACTCTAACCATCTGCTTTTCCACAATTTATTTCACACTACTACCCTTAAGCCATCAGTAATCGTGTTTAATAGTTCACCTGATATCTGCTTTTGATTAGGTGCTTAGGAGCTTGGTCTTAGGCAGGTAACCATTGCTTGAAAAGTTGAATAAAAAAAAGGAAATGTATCCATAAAAAAAAATCTGCAATTTTCAAATCTATATTGTGTTTCCATTTTAGAGTTGCTGTGTTATAAAATATGCATTTGTGATACAACCTCATTTTCTCTAGCCAACCTGGATCTGGCTTTCTTTTCACATCCTTAGCATGTATTATCGGTACTCTCTTCAGGGTCTGATTGCATCCAATATGTGCATATGCAGAGAAGCAGCATCTCACGTGACACATGACCAGGATTCATCACCAAATTTGGTCTGCTGGTTGGATCATTAGCGTCCCCACGCTGGACTGTGTACTGACGGAGAATGTGATATTAATGCTGATCCATGTGTTTAGCCATGTCTCTTCTTTCCACAACATTTCCTCATCCAGTTTGCCTTCCCGTTCGCTTTTTCTTTTCAAATTTAGTCTTCGAGAGACTCCTTATCATCACCATGAACTTTCTCAAAACAGCCAGGAACTGATTCAAGTGCTCTTCCACCTTCACCCATGAGGAAACACTTAGACTTCATTCACTGTAAACTGGAATTCAGTTACAGCAATTGTATTCCAGCTATCCAAATCAAAAGACAAACTATGGGACTGGACAGATAACCTCAAACAGAAAATGAAACTTCTGAATCTGGGAATTCCCCTTTTCTGATTGTTAAACAAGCATGTAATTTTAATTGCTTTAAAAAAAAAAAAAAATTCACAGATTCAGAAATTTCAGTTTCGGTTTGGAGGTACCAGCAGCATTCACATACAGCTTTAGGTTGAAGGTCTTTTGTTTTATTTGAACTGAAATAAAAAGGGACAATATTACTGCAAAATTATCAAGTTCCCAAAGGAGGCAATTTTCATTAGTATATTCTAATAATGTTATTCTTCCAGTTTCCCAGTTTAAATTGGTATTTGCCAGCACTTACGGGGACACGTATTCTGATTCTAATGATGGAATAAGCAAAGACCCTTTTGTATACAGAATTATAGAATTTTAGTACTGGAAGAAACTTAAGTGGTCTTCAAGTCCAACCCCTGCACTTATAGCAGGGCCAAGCACTATCTAGACCTAGAGTGGACAATAAAACTGCTGCATCCACCAGGATTAACCCCCTGCAGGCCCTGCCACTATATTTACATGTGCCTCCACAGGTACCAGTGATTGCAGCGCCTGTTGGTCATGGATCTCTGTTCCCAGCCAACAGGAGCTATGGGAAACAACACAGACCATGGCATTGCTTCCTGCAGCTTCCATTGACTAGAAACAGCAATCCGTAGCCAATCGGAGCTGTAAATCACCCATACCTGCAAGGCACAGCAAAATATAATGGCGATCCAGCCTGCAAGGCCAGTATTTGCTCTTTCCAATCTAGACCATCCCTGACCGGGTTTAGTCTAATCTGCTCTTAAAAACATCTCCATTTATGGACATTCCACAACATCCCTGGACAATGTATTCCAGTGCTTAACCACCCTGAGTTAAGAAGTTGTTTCTAATGTCCAACTTAAATCTCCCTTGCTGCAATTCAAGCCTATTGCTTCTTGTCCTATGATCGGATGTTAAGGAGAATAATTTTTCTCCTTCCTCCTTGTAACAGGCTTTTAGGTATTTGAAAGCTGTTATCTACCCTCTCAGTATTATCTTTTCTAGACTAAGTAAACTCAATTCTTTCAATCTTCGCTCATAAGTCATGTTCTCTAAAACAGTGGTACAAGTACCCTTAGGGGTACTTGAGAGAAGTCTGGGGGGGTACATCAACAACTGAAATTTGGAGAAAACTGAATTTTTGTTTTAAGTTCTACAGCCCTTTATTATGTTTGTACTTTTTACACCTAAAGATTTAATTGCCTGCCCACGATTAAGTTGTCTAAACAAATGTGTTGCAATGGTAGAAAAAAACCTGTGTGTCTGAAAACTATAGGTACTGGGGGTACTTTATAAAAAAAGGTTGAGAAACAACCTTTAATCTAAACCTTTAATCATTTTTGTTGCTCTTCTCTGGACCTTCTCCAATTTTTCCACTACTTTCCTGAAATGTGGTGCCTGAAACTGGGCACAGTACTCCATTTCAGGCCTAATCAGTGCACAGTAAAGCAGATTTACTTCTTGTGTCATTTGAAGAAGTGGATTGTGCCCATGAAAGTTCATGATAGCATTTACATATTTTGTTAGTCTTTAAGGTGCTACTAGGAAAAACTTAAAAACCAACAAATAGTCTGTTAGGGTATGTCTACACTACCCCGCTAGTTCGAACTAGCGGGGTAGTGTAGACATACCCTTACAGACTAACTCGGCTACCACTCTGAAGTTCTTGTGTCTTGCTTACAACACTCTTGTTAATGCATCCCAAAATGATTCTTGCTTGTTATGCAACAGTATCACACTGTTGACTTATATTTACCTTGAGTCCACTTTGACCCCTAGATCCCTTTCTGCAGTACTATTTCCTAGACAGTCATTAACAATCAGTTTCATGCAGACAAAACGTGAAAAGGCCTGCAAATCCATAGATATCCAATTTATATCCATGGGCATCCACATTCATGGATGTTAATGTAGCTATCCATGGCTCACTTTTGCGGATACAGATGCGGATACAAAATTCCGCCCAAGGCCTTACTGATTGTTCCTTCCTAAGTGGAGTACTTGGCATATGTCCTTATTGAATTTCATCCTATTTACCTCAGACTATTTCTCCAGCTTGTCCAGATCATGTTGAATTATAATCCTGTCTGCCAACACAATTGAACCCCCTCCCGGCTTGGTATCATCTGCAAACTTTATCAGTGTCCTTTCTATACCATTACATACATTACTGAAGATATTAAAAAGAACTAATCCTGAAACTGATCCCCATGGAACCTCACTTGGTATGCCCTTCCAGCATGACTATGAACCATTGATAACTACTCTCTGGGAACAGTTATCCTACCAGTTATGAACCCACCTTATAGTAACCATAGGGTTCACAATCCCTTAAAAACAATAATGTCAATGTAAATGCTTTTTTAAGGTAGTTAAATACGTACTTGAGATCCCAAATCAACATATATATTTCTGTGCAACTTACTCTTGACATCCTCCCACGATACCTATCCGTCCATCTTGACCTTTATGCTTCCGTGCTGTTAGAGGAGGAATAACATTGCGCACCAACTGAAAAATATTTTCCATGTCCTTTATAGAATGTGTTTTGTGTAGTGAAAAGGCTCTCTCAATAACTGAAAAAGATAAAAACATTTAAAAAATTACTTCAGAGATGTTTCTTTTAAATTGATAGAAACCTCAGCGCATTTTAAAACACTCAGTAGCATTGGTGTAATCAATTTCTGTAACAAAGCTGTTACTTAGTTACACACAATAAATTAAAAACCCAAACTCTGCAATTTTACTTTATTAGAAGTATTCAGTTGTGTACTCAGTAATTGTTCTTGCCATCCTAACACCACAGGTAGGAAAAAAATGTTCTAAGAACATTAGGATGCAACTCTACAGAGCCGCTGATGGGGAAGAGGGAGAGAAAGCAGTTGTCCCATGACCTGGTGATTAGGGCCCAATGCTTTGGGTCCTTTAAATTGCCCCCGGAGCCTCAGGCAGTGCTGAGAACTGGCTGGGGTTAGCACAGAGCAATCCATGTTACAGGGGTTAAACAACAGTTACTTGAATAGTCGATTAACCTCATGCATTTGTATCTGTTAGTCGACTATTCTATAGTTTCTGGAGACAAAGCTGGCAGCCAGCGTGCTCCATCCACACTGCGTGCTGCTGCCTCCGTATCAGAAGCGGCAGTGTGGGGTGCCAGGTGGGAGCTGGTCCACAAAGGGAGCCAGTTTAAAAACCAGTTCCCCTCATGGACCGGCTGCCTATCACCCTGCACTGCTGCACATCGTGGGGTAGCACCAGCCCCTGTCCAGGTGATCGAGGGGCCGAGCTTCCAGGATATGAGAGAGCCAGAACAGAGCAGGGCTGCCTGCCTCCTAATACACTTAAATGCAGAGCCACAGCAGGGATAGGTCCCGGATCTGGCACGAGCTAGGACTTAGTCGGGCTGCTGGTCCTAAAAACCCTGCTAAAAACTTTACTGGCAAAGAGTCGGAAGAGGGGGAAGGAAATGCGTGTAGTCTATAGCATTAACCTAACGCTATTTCTTATCGGTTAATTGACTACACTATTCCATCCCTAGTCCGAGAGTTGCTGGTGCTGAGAGAGTTGGCTGCCCCTTGTCCTGCCCCTTCTACTGAGGTCCTGCCCCTTCTTGAGCTGCCCACACACACTGCCCAGTGACATCTGTCACCAGCCCTGCAACTCTGAAAATATCATGGTAACAAATAAGAAAACTCCAGCTCTGCACTATGTCAGCAGAAACTCTTCTCCAAACTTCACAGACTAACATGAAATGAGACTAGCTACACTGTAGTAAGAAAATCACTTCATAGCATTCAAAAATGATAATATCCCAGGCTGATCTCTTGCTTCGGAAATCCTATCACATAGGCATTGCACTACCATTGGGATCAAAAACTAACCCTCTTGGAGCATGTCCAAAACAACATTGTCACAATTTAGAGTATAACAAAACATTTCTGCTCTGGAAATAAAGCAATAAAAGGTGTCCCCGCTATACGTCCAAAACACATTCCAAAAACCTTAGACGTACAGCAAAAGGATGTAAAGCAGGGTGTTTTTTCCCCCCACAGCTGACTTCCCTTTGTGTGAATTGGTTTGGTTTTTTGGGAGTGGTTTTTTTGCATGATGTGTGGGGAATGGGAGGATATATAATGCAATGGTTCCTAGAAGCATCAATGGAGTTAGTACAGAACCGATGTATACCGGAGAAATGTATAGCAGGGATGCCTTGTGTTAGAACATGTAGAGGAATTGTAAATTATCTAGTATTCGACCATAAAAACCTATATGAAATATACATCCCATATAGTGTTCCCTCTAAGCTGTGTGGCAACACAGCCCCACAGAAGCTCAATAAACTCTCCCAGCCAGGGGCTCAGGACTCACACAAGGAGCTGCCTGGCAGGGATGCAGGGGAGGCACTTCTCCTTCAGTGACAGCAGCAGCTTCCTGATGAGGACAGAGCAGCAAGACTCTCCCAGCCAGCAGGGACACATCCCCTTCCTACTGACTAGGAGGGCCTTGCTGCTTCGTCCTCAGCAGGGAGCTGCTGTTATTGCCGAGGGAGAAGTGTCTTTTCCCCAAGCCAGGCAGTTTCATGTGCAGAGTTTTGAGCCCCTGGCTGGGTGGGACTCATTAAGCAGCTGCAGGTCTGTGTTGCTGACAGCTTAGAGGGAACACTGATCCCATACATGCTCAACCTATTTACAGTGACGTGGCTGTTGAACCTTCAGTTTCCTAGCTTTTCTACAACAGAGACTCTATAATAAGGGGGAAACAGAGAACATGAATAAGGAATACTAAACTGGATTTCACTTTTGGCTAATTCATTTCACTTCACCTTCAGATACAACTAACTAGGTCTGAAATATCTTAAATATTTCACTTTAAAACATATTATAAACTGTAAAACCCCTTTTGTGACTGGAGGTCAGTTCTGAGTTTCTCTTGCTATAGTATAAAATTATAAGTATACATTGGCATCATCAAATGTAACAAGAGAAACAGAATCATGGCTTCAAGTCTTCAAAGTAATAGAACAACTTTCAGAATTAAAAGTGAATGCATTTTAAAAGTAATAATATTAAGGCAAAGTACATAATGTGCTCAAGATTTAGGAGCTTAAGTAGTTTTCTGTATCTATTTTCTAAGACTGAAAAATGAAGCCACTATTTGTAAGACATAAAGCCTGTATGTATTCTACACTTTCGTTTAAATATTAAAATGTTGCTCAAAAATTATGATAAACTATTCAGACATCAAAAAGTCATTTTACAGGCCAGAGAGTCATTCAATAAAATAAGAAAGTATGTTAACTTAATGCATAACATTCCTGACCATTCATTCATTGCTTATTCAAGATTCCACTGAATTTGAAGAAAAGTTTTTCTGTCTCAGAAATGTAGCACTGGGCCTTACATCTATTTGGCTCTCTAAGTATGCAAACTATAGTCCTGATAAGCAGAATTTAGAAATAAAACTATCTGTATTGTATTTTTAGACTACTCGTCCATTTAATACTGAACCTACATAGGAATTTAAAATACAACTATTTTCCAACCTGCCAAGCTATAAAAATCATAAGCCACACAGGCTTTACTTTCAAGGTTGATAACACTTTGATTACTGTTACTACCCATTCTAAGTAAATATACAGAGGGATCATCATCAATATAAATGACATACTGCCACAAATCTTGAAGTCTCTGTTACTATGCACTTCATACTTGATTACAGAAGCTGTACAGGCTAGAGTCTAAAGCGGAAAACTAAGACTTCATAGATGCCAATTCTAAGAATATTTTGAAAAATCCAGACCCTGGTATATTCATAAATGAATCAGTGCAAGACGAAAATAAGATTCAAGGTATTTTTGTAAAGAAATTTAAGTATTTGAAGGACAAATCCTCAAGCAGGTGTAAACTATTTAAGCTCCGTAGCATTCAACTGAGGTATGATAATTTATGTAAATTGAGGATCTAACCGTTGGCCTATAGATAAGGCATACCGCCACATAATTCAATATCTAAAGTGAAATCCAGGTCCTAATGAAGTCAATGACAAAGCTTCTTTTGACTTCAGCTGTAATGTTCAAAACATTTCTGACATACCCATAGTTAAAAATCCCAATACATGTTATTTTTCCTAGTCTTCTATTACTTCGAATTAACATTCCCAAGTATGATGAAAACCCTGACAGCAAATATATTACTGAAAAATGTTTACATTTTTTCCCCAATTTTTCATAAAACTATTGTTTCATTCTGCTGCCAGGACACAAACTTTCTTCGAGATCATTTTTGGTAAAGGTTAAGCTCCGTAACATATTATATACATCCACACAATATATATAATTCCATTTTATACAGATAGGAATGTGATATGAACTGACTAGTACCTTTGAACTGCTTTTTCCAAAATATTATTTCAATAATTAGAATTAGAGCTTATATATCAGAACAAATGCATGGTAAGACATTTTAATTCAATTTACAAAAAAAAAAAAAAAAAATCACCACAATATTGAAAAATGTCAAAGCTAGACATTTATTTTCAGAGACTATCATAAGCCATTGCACAATTCTTTTAAATATATTAGGTCTTATTTATGCTATAGAATGAAGTACCTATTGGTGGAGAAAGTGCTGCTGCCATAGCATTATAATTAAAGTTATCGCCATAGGATCGGTGATTTGCTCTCTGAGATTGACTACTAGTTGGTATAGACTGTGACCTTTGTGATACCGTAGAAGAAATTCCTGCCAACATCTGTCCCAACATTTGTAACATCTGGAGTTCTCGAGCATGCTCAGCTTCACGGCGCTTGTCCTCAAGTTTAAGCCGCTGCTCTTCATATTTGTAAAATTTCTCTTCTGTATCCACACTTTGTTGCAGGAATTTTTCCATCATTTTATCCAGTGTTAAATTTGCGTGGCGTTTTTTTGATCTTTTGGGTTGAGAAAGTGGTGGTGTATTGGTTTGAGCACTGATCTGTTTAAAGCCTAAAACAAAGTAGATAATATTTTAAATCTTCCAGAAATGGTAAAAGGAAAGAATATAAGGTAAAACTGTTCCACTTGTAAAATGTAGGTCTATTTTGCCATACCAAGGTATTATTTTATGTCAAAGTTAGGCATGATTATGTCTGATTATTTTAAGAGAAGCAAAATAAGAAATACATGCTTATCCAAAAAGATAATATGTAATCATTTTAACTGTTGTAGAACTAAACTTCAAAAATAAGAGGCGGCTTTTTGATCTTTTAAAAAGCTTTAAGTGAAGGCTATTCAACAGCACAGCCTTATGTGTGTATTGCAGGTAATTACGCTGATCAGAATGGAGTTTCAGCCTACTGGCATTTTGGATTTACATTTCAAAAAAGATGTTAGTGTAAACAACACTTTCATGAGATTCATGTACAAAAAGGAGATTGGTGAAATGTTAACCAACTAGCTATGTCCTGAGAGTTCTGAAGACAGATTCAGGTTTTAGACAAATGCACACAGCACAATATTGAACTTTAAAAAACATTTGCGCAGAGTACAAAGGGCAACAGGGAAAAGGCTTTATTTTGCTTTCTACACTCTCCCCCTTTAATTGTACTGTTGGTTTTTGGCCAAGTAATCCAAATACTGACATTAAAAACAAACAGAACGCTTTTTAAAAAATATATTTTAAAATATAATTATTACTTTTTTCTGAAAACTGCATAGCATCCATAGCAAAGTTTAAACACAGCAAGAATCATAAGGATGCTGCTGTTTTTATCCAGAACTGTTTGGTACTTCCTATCTTATCTCTTCATTAGTTTCCAATTTGTTTCCCATTGATAACAAATTAATATAAAATTAGCAAAACCTTCATTTCCCCTTCCCTTATATAATGCAATGCTTTACTTTTTAAAAAATTTAAGAGATTTATGAACTAATTCACATGATCCTTTGGTACTGAGAAGGGCAAAAGGGACAAAACAATGGGCTAGGGAAGGAGAAGGGCAAAGAGGAGAAGAAGAGAAATTAAATGGAGAAGATAGCACAGTGGGGGAAGGAGGTTAAAGAGACTAAAGACGTTATAACCCAGTTCCCCGTGAAAAGGATGAGAGATGTCTAGAAGGGAAGAGGCCAGTGCAGCAGTGATAAGAAGCACATTAGCTATTGTATGGGGAGGGGGATGCAAAGGGTTCAGGAGGGGACAAATAAAAGAGAGAGAGGTGGATTCTCCTACCGGCGTGTATGCGGGATGGGGCTCCCCGGCCCGGCTGCTGCAGGTACTCACCCTCGGTGGGCGGCACCGGGATGGCGAAGGGGGGACACTCCACCTGCCAGTGCAGCAGTGATAAGAAGCACATTAGCTATTGTATGGGGAGGGGGATGCAAAGGGTTCAGGAGGGGACAAATAAAAGAGAGAGAGGTGGATTCTCCTACCGGCGTGTATGCGGGATGGGGCTCCCCGGCCCGGCTGCTGCAGGTACTCACCCTCGGTGGGCGGCACCGGGATGGCGAAGGGGGGACACTCCACCT